TAAGGGGAGACCATTGGGAATATTTTTCGTTCGTGCAACGGTGAGGAAAAAAATATAATTTTCCATTTTTCATCAGTTGTTGCCGGGTGAGTCCAGTGGTAGAACGAAAATGCACAATGAGGTCACTGCCACCTCGATAATGGTCGCACGCTCGCCAATTTCACAGGGACGGTAGCTTGGGTCACTAGTAACGTGCTGCGTTAATTTCAAGTCGATATCTAAAGGGGTTGATTTTACACAATTTTTTAACGCATTCGGCACAAACTCGACCTCACCACTACTGTGTTCTAATATTACCCACCAAAATGCATCTCCAGCATAGTAGATACCTCCCCTAACGAAGCCAGGTATATGATTGGCTAAGCGTAGTAAAACATTTTGATTTTTAATGAATTATAAACCTACTCGTCTCTACTACTATATAAAGAAAAAACAGTGAAAAATGTGAAATAGAAAAAATAGAAATATATTATATGAAATGTAAAAAAACAGCGTATATAATCATAATTATTGATGTCCTCAATTCATGGCTTTTATTGCGCCGTGTGGCAACCGGTCCGCGAGACAGCGCTTCGGACGCCGGGCTCCGGACGAGTGGCCGCCGGCGACTTTTGACCTGTCATTTCCGTACGCTCGAGTCGAGCAGACGTGTCCTGTCCGGCCGTGACCTTAAGGCCGTTTTAGCGACGAGTTCACTGCCCTTGCGACCACCTCGTGGTTCGTTTATATATCCTTGTAATATACACCATTTAAGTGTTTCGTATCACGGCGCGTTTGACAGTTGTGTCGACCGCCGTGTCATTATTATTAATCGTGCGCTTTTGTCGCGTCCGGCCGTTCCATTGCAGGTGTCATCCACCTCGTGGCCTTATTACCCACGACGTTAGGCCCGTTTCACATGAACGCGTATCATACGTGACGTATCGTACGCGCGCGTTTTCCATTTTACATTGATTAAGTTCATACGCGCCAAACCGGCGAGGGAAACGCGCCATCGTCGGAGTGGCGCGTATGAATTTGACCAATGTAAATTAAAACGCGCGCGTACGATACGTCGCGTATGATACGCGTCCATGTGAAATGGGCCTTATAACCGTTGGGTACGGCAGTGTTGCCAGATTTTTAAACGTAAATGTTCAAAAAATACGTTCAAAATGTTCGTATTTGTTCGTACGTTAAAAAATGTCAACTACAAAATAAAAATAATACAATTTACATTGTGTGTGTGGGTTGCATAAACGTAAAATAAATATACTTTTGAACATGGACGTTATATTACTTCAGTAGTTCAGTGCCTTTATTTTAAGGTTATAAACAAATATATTAATATTATATTATTTATGTATACTCGACTGTCTCTATCTTTAACCAACATCAAAATTGATTATACAACCATCCTATCTACAATGTCGATTTGGTAATATACACTCTAAAGTCAAACATTTTGTACAAAAGTGTTTCCAGTGTATCTATGTGTGTATCCAGTGTATCATATAACTAAAATAAAATGCATAGCTGATACCCACAGAAGCTTATGAAACTGTAATTTATATTTATTTTAAATAAAATAAAACATGAAGTTACCTACTGTTATAGTATTTTTATAAGATTTATCAATTTATCATTATTTTATAAATATTTAAAAGATGGAGTGTTGCCATTTAAGCGTGTATATAATTTCGAAGTCATTAAGTTAAGCAACATCTATATAAGCATAATTTACATTTTAAAAGATCAAATAATTAAATATTATTCTACAATAGTAGTTTTTGTTTATTAAATTAATATATTTTCTAGAATACATTCTCGCTTAAAATAAAACCATTATTAATTCATAATAATTTAGTATGACTATTTGATCTTCAATCCAGTTTGACTCATAATTTTGTTGATTTATTAATAAATGTAATTGTATATATTATGTTTTGTTTTAACATTTCATTGTTATTTAATAACAATATATTTGTAGTCATTATTATAACTAGCAAAATATAGGTATTACAAATATAACAATAAATAATAAAAACTTAGATGTAGCCTCAAACTTGAATCTAAATTTAACTTATTTTTTCAAACTATCTTCCAGAGATGTTTAGTTTGAGTTATGTCCAAACCAGTTGGATGCTAAATAAATCTGAAAAAATTAAATATAAAACATAGAACCTTAATAAACCATTTGAATTCAACTTATTTTTCAAACTATCTTCTAGAGATGTTTTGTTTTGATAAATCCAAACCAGTTGGATACTAAATAAATCTGGAAAAAATAAAAATGTCATGATTTAAAAATTATTTTATCAAACAAAACTAAATTGAAACTGTTACATGAAAAAAAAATAAACACTAAACTGTTAAAACTGTATTTCAAAAATACCAACATATAAAGTTAAAATTAATAAATAAATAACTGAAAAACTTCAACAATTGGAACAAATTCACTTTAGCAACCCAGCACATTTTTAAAATTGTTTTTTCGAAATAGACGTATTTCGACGAGGTAAGAACGATGGTGCAAAAAAAAATTTGCGGAAACCATTATTTTGGAAGTTATATCTATCCAAAGTCAAGATTTTACGTTGATACCCATGCGCGCAACACTACTATAATGCCTCGCGCAACGTCCATAACATAATTAATTTTGAGTTTCTTTTGTATACAATCACAATTTGCACAATCATCGAGTCGTCTTATTTCCAAAACACATTAAAATATTAAATTAGGATGTTGAAAAAAAGATAAACAAATTTCTGGTATAATCATCATTATATTATTATCATTTATTTACATATCGATATCGTAATCTGTACTATCGTCATCATTATTATTATTATTTGCATATGACATATTCGACTTTAGATAACGTGAGAAATGTTATAGATAAAGTTAGTAAAATTAAAACAAATAAATAAATATGATAATTAAGATAACTAGTCAACTATTTAAAAACAAGTAATAAAATTTATAAAATGTTAGTATGGTAGGTTATAGTAGGTATAGTAAATTATAATAACATCAATACTAATAGCAATAAAAATCACAGACGAGTATTTATTTCCATTTTATAGCTGTTGGTCCACCATCGTGTAGTTTTGTTAATCCTTTTTTGAACATTGTAATGGGGCACGACTCAACCATATGTTTGATTGTCTGCGTTTCTCCACATTCGCAAAGTGGAGAGTCTACCATTCCCCATTTGTGAAGTAGGTAGTTGCATCTTCCTTGTTCCGTTCTTATTCAATTAAGCGTTGTCCATATAGCCCTTGTGCCATCCCAGCCAGGGACTTTTTTAAATGGTTCTTTGATCAGGTCTTTATTACGGGGTTCTGACTGTTCCCAGCGTCTCGTCCATAGGTACTCAACTGATTCGCTTTGAGTTTCTGCATGCCATATGGGAGCTCTAGACTTAAGGCGTAATGGCGGATGTCAATTTAATTTTTTTGGAAGGATTCCATCTACTCCAGCTGCTTTTCCGTTTTTCACAGATTTTAATGCGTTATAGACCTCTTCAGTAGTGAACTCGTTCATAAGAGTCGACTTTTCTTTGCACCTCCTTAGCTCTTCTTGGAATTCCCTTTTCACCTCGATTTTTCGTTTTTATGGGGTTTAATATTTGATGTTTTATATAGTATATTAGCAACATCGCCGGCAGCTACACTACCAACCTTTCTTGTTGGTTGTGCTGCACCAAGCTTTCTCAACAGTGACCAACTATTCCTACTTGAATGCGTATAATCCATTTCTCCCATTGCAGTTATCCATCTGTTTCTTCTCTCTTCATCCAGGAGAGCTATCAATCGGTTGGCAGTTACTTCATTTCCGGTTTCATCGTATTCACGTAGTAGGGAGTCGCACTCTTTGCTCCAACATGGGATGTAATTCTGTCTATGCCCTCTTGGTATAGCCAGTGAAGCGGCTTTTTTAATAAGCTTAACAAATCTTAGATAGTTTTCTGGGATGGGGGGAATGCGATTTATGTTCTCCTCCATGTATTTAGTAAAATTTGGCCATACAGCTTTTCGTAGATTCCACCGGGGCATTTCGGGTTTGTTGATCCTTGGGAAATGTACTCCTATGTCTATAATAACTGGTTTGTGTTGGCTTTTGGGGAAGTTTGGTATGATTTAATGTGATACTCTTATAGGTTGGTCATCCTTGTCTCTTGACGTAAAGCATAGATCAGGTGATGTGGTCGTCCCCCAGCGGCCTGATTTATTAAAAGTTCCCCCCTGCTTAGCGACGTAAACTAGATGTAAGCGATGGAGTGTGGCCCAGCTGGTGAGTTTTTCCCCATCTTCGTTATCTCTAGAGTAGTCCCATTCAGTACTATGTGAGTTGAAGTCTCCTATGTAAATTGAGTTGACGTCTTGTCGGACTGGGAGTACAGTGTTGGACCATCTTTCTGAGGGTGGTTTGTAGACGTTGTATATTAACAGATTTCCTAGAGATACGCCAATTGTGTGTGCGTTACCCTCAACAGGATTAATATGTTGTTCTTTATAGTTTTGGTTAATATATGTAGCCAATCCATGTTTTGCGTGTCCTTTATAGTCTATCATATTAAAACCAGGTATTTTCAGGCGTCTTGTCTCATTTTCCGGTACGTGAGTTTCTTGTAATGCCAGTACATCTGTGTCTTTAAATATCCTGCTTATAATGTCGGACTTGGCTCTCGTTAATCCTTCTACATTTAAGTGCGCTACTCGTATTGTTCTTTGTGACTCTTTTTTACTAGGGTATTGATGTTCGTCCATATGCATGTATGATTTCTTTTTTTGTGTTTTTAATTTTTTATATTTTTTGAAGGGTATTTTATTTTGTATGGTATTTACGCGATGATAACGTGCGTCAGTGGGGTAGTCCTTAAAAGGACTGTTTTTGTCGAATGATCCAGGAGATCCGTGGATGTTTGGCTGTCGGTTCGATGCTATTTGGTTTCATGTATTCATTGTTTGATCCGTGGAAAAATCTTTGAGAGATTCGGAAAGCAGACCAGGAATACACTACTCACAGGGGAGACCTCGAGAAGGTATAGCATCACCTCCCCCATCGTCATCATTGAAACTGTCTGAGTCTTCGGCAATTACGTAATCCCCATTTTCGGTGTGTGCAGCTGCCGAGTATAAATGGCCAGCAAATTCAAAAAATGCAGACAAAGGTTCAACTTTTTTGGCACGAAATTGTTTCAAAAACATACATTTTTTCATGTATCCGGCGTAAAAATGTTTTTTCCTACTGTATTGGGTGTATTTTGTGAGCGATGCTTTCGCATGCCTCCACATTCCCTCCACGTTATTTGTATGAGCATCGGTTTCGAGGTCTTTAAAATTAATGGAATGGTTGACTGTTAAATGAACATACCCTTCATGTTTTAAACAGTCGTAGCTCTAAATTCAAATTTAAAATAGAATTATCATACAATGAATGAAGAAATAGTAATATCATATAAAAATAGGTACCCATGTCCTAGGTAATTATACTGACATACCTTCCAACAATCACTGATAATATTAGTGCCTAGTAAAATCCATTGTTTTATGATTGTCAATAATGTTTTCTTATTTCTAAACTCCGCTGGCATGAGAAAACATTTTCCAGATCCCCGTTCTACACCTCCAAATATCCACTGCATCTCGACCCGGTGACCACGGTGATACTTTCGTTTGCCAAACTTCGACTCATCAATTTCTACAATCTTATCAACTCCCCCTTAATTGTAATAGTTAAACTCATTAAATATGAAAGTAATTAACGAATTGTTATAAATTAAAACTTACCGATTTTTTCATGTCGTATAATCATGGCATCGAATACAACTTCCCGATGGAACGAAGCCCAGTCAACCACAACACTTCGATATTTTTACTTGTTTCGATAAAAATTCCAAAGAAACATTTTCAACCCATAAATATGAAAATATGACAATTTGGTACAGTGACAAATGCGATTTACAAAAAAATTTATTTTTTCGCAAAGACTGAGTATATTCACATCTAACTTTTTTTTGTTTCCTCGTTGCAGTGTATTCTCTGCAACGCCACACAAATCCGTCACAAACGTCGGAAGAAGGATATAACTTCAAAAAATGGCCATTGTTACATTTTAGTGTATTCTCGTTAGCAATTAATCCCCAACTTTGCAACTTGAGAATCACATTCATAGACACCGGACCGTCTGTTTTATATTCCAAAAGTTCAAAAAGTTCGACTAAGTTGAACGTCATTTTGCGTGGTTATTTACTGTATAATATATTATAATAGACTATAGTTCACTAATTCACAACACGTCTTACACATAGACAGTGTTTCAGATATATTATGAATCTAATATTTGGAACTAAGTTTTTATTTCAACACCCCTCCTTTTCTCGTTAAAGCTTAATTGGGTAAACAATATTTATGTACCATAGTGTATATTATATTATTTTGTATCAATCAGTAATTTAACTATCCATAATTAAACATTTTAATTGGTCTTAATTCTATATTTATACCAATATCGCTATTTTATAACTATCTCAATTTTATATTATTATTATTATTCATTTATATGAAATTATCTTTATGATAATAGAATAACCTATATTAAGTTGTTTTTCAATTATTTACAGGTAGACAACAGGCTAATGAGTATATTAAATTTTTGTTGCACCGAGTCGAAAATTCCCTCGATTTGCTATGCAACACCCCCCCAAGTGGGCCACCAATTTTATAAAACATCGTATAGTGATGCCATGCTGGCGGCACTCGTCGCTACGCTCCTCGGCGCCGTCGCTCCGCTCTGCAAATCGAAAATATCCCCCGACTTGCTGTGCAACACCACCTCAAATTGGTCACAGGGTAACTACCAGTTGGCCAAACTCAAATTACTTCGCGTGGCATTAAAACAGTCTTGCGCGCATGGCGCATACGTATAAACGTAAAATCGCAAACTTTGGATGTCTATAACTTCCAAAATAATGGTTTCCGCAATTTTTTTTTGCACCAGCGTTCTTGACTCGCCGAAGTACATCTATTTAAAAAAAAAAAAATTAAAAAGGTGCTGGGTAGCTAAAGTGAATTTATGCCCAAATATTAATAAAATATAAGATAAAAACAATTAATCAGATTCAAAATCAAATTCATATTTTATACATTCTCTATTTTCTTTTTCATATAAATTTTTTTAAGTCATGGAGATTATTTTTTTAGTTGGATGAAAATCTATACAATTATTTGTATTAAATTGTATTTCTTGTGAAGCAAACAAACAACCTTGAATGGTGTCGGTATTTAACCTATTTCTTGTTTTTACTTTAATTAAGTTAATCTTACTAAAAATTCTCTCACAGTCAGCATTAGAATGTGGGAGACAAAGTACACCAAGAGCAAAATTTGAAATATTTAGAAAAGGAACTTCGCCATTCATTTGTTTAAGACCTGAAAGTTTGTACCAAAAAATATCAGGTTTGTCTAAATGATCTTTAATATCAGATAGAATATCAAACAATGGCAAAGTTCTCCATTCGCTGTCAATTGCTTGCATCAATTGTTCATTGCCAGAAGTTATTCGAGGTAAAAAATTCATCAAATAAAAAAGAGAATTATATTCGTTTCTGAAGATAAAGCCGTCCTAGAATCCATTAGTTTAATTACTGACATTATAGGATCACTAAAGTTGTATTTTTTTTTTTATTTGGAGACAAGCTACTTTGAGGAAGTTTTGAGTTCTTGAATTAAAATCATCTAACAGAGCATTATTTTTAAAAACTAAAGGTTTTTGCAATTCTTGGAGAACTTTAATTCCAAAGTACATTTGTAAGAACTGGTCAGATTTGTTTGGATCAATATCTTTGACATCAGTTGTATTTATATAATTTTGATTCATGTATGATAATAATAAGTCTTTGTAAGTTAAAATCATTTTATCATGAAGTTGAGTGATAACCACATTAAAACTTTGAAAGAAAGAATTTAAGGATGTAAATTTAGGTAAAATCTAATCCAAAAACAGAAAAATAAGTCTAATCAGTGGATCATTTAATGAACTATGAATTAAATCAACGGTCGTAAGTCTTTCAGTTAAAACCTTATCATTGAAATATAATTTTAATGCATCCCACTGCTCTAATAACCTATGAACAACCAGTTGTAAAGATAACCATCTCGCCTGTGAAGGGTGTAATAATTTGTGACCGTGCGTTGAACAGAATTCTTGAAATTGAACAAACCATGCACTTCTTTTAGAACTCATATAGAAAAATGAGAAAACACTGCAAGCTAGATTTTCGCAGCGTTTGGGAAGGCTTCTATTATACAGATAATTACATATTTACAAATAATAACAATATACTTAAATACATATTTACAAATAATATACAAAACCGTACAGGCTGCATTGAATATACAATATATACAGTAAAAATAAGTTTTTAATTATTCCAAGTGCCAGTCATTAAAATCAAGAGAGCTCAGAAATAGAAGTTGTTGTAATTTCTCTCCCTTCAATCTGTTTCTTTTTTCTGTCCTTATGTTTCCAGCCTTTGAAAACAAACGTTCTGAAGGGACGGAAGTTGAACCAACAGATAAATAGGGGTGTACAATTTTTTTTAGGTGAGGGTACATATTACCATTTTGGTGTCAATATTTAAGGATATCTTCACCTAACTGTATCGTGTGTTGGCTTAAATAATGTTTAAGGTCTGTGGGAATTCGCTCTTCAGACTATTCAGAAGTTTGTGATGCAGCTTTTTTTGTAACCAGCTCAGTGTGAACTGACCACAAATTATCTTGCCGATCACCATCATCATCACTAGAGTCATGGCATGAGGAGGAGTTAGAATCATCACAACTATTTCTGACTTCAGTGATTTTATTTTTAATTAACCTAATAGCCCTTGCACTACAGTAAGGATTATTTAAATGGATTGTTTTAAATCTAGGGTCAAGGATAGTGGCAACACTTAGCAAACTAATTTCCTCCATCCTACCAAATCGTGTGTCTAGATTTTCTAACATCGCCTCCTAATGTTAAAGCGATTGGATTTGATATATTTATGCTCTCAGTTTTTTTTATAAGGCAATTAATTAAAGGTATTACCTTGCTGCCAGTAACATATTTCTGGCCACACAACTCTCTTGTTGCCACTTCCATCAGCCTCAACACTGACAACATTTCTTTTGCCAAATCAATTTCGTCAACTGTTAGCATTGTAGGGCCCCCACGCATATTAATCAATACCGAAGCTATATAGTTAGAACACAAGATAACACTTTCAATCATAAAATAAATAGAGTTCCAACGAGTAGGAGCAGACTGATTCAGCTTATAATTACACAATTTTTTAAGTTCATCACAAGCAGCTACCGAATGTTTGAAATAAGTCACAAGAGATTTTATTTTATGTATGAGATCTTGTGCATCAGAAAGATTTACCAATGCCCGTTCAGATACCAAGTCTAACGTGTGGCCAAAACATGGCAAATGCTTCTCCTGCGAAAAGGTTTTTTTAACTGCACATAAAATCTTAGCCCCATTATCTGTGACAACCGTGAAAACCTGACTTTTTTTGGTACCCCACTTCTCAAGAAGTTGCTAAAACCAAATTGATATATTATCTGCAGTGTGGCTGGCAGAGAGCTCTAAGACACCTATCGTCACACTATCTAGGGCAACATTAGGAACATTTAAAAAATGATCGGTCATACCCAAAAACCTTTTAGTGTTAATAGTATCTGTCCAAATATCTGTAGTTACAGTTAAAAAATCAATTTGACAAAGTTTAGATTTAACTAACTCTGATAATACTTCGTACTTAGTTTTTATTAAATTCGTCATAGTCGTCCTAGAAGGAATTTTGTACATCGGCGCTGCCTTTTGCATGAAAAAAATAAACCCTTCTTTTTCAGTTGTAGATAATGGCATGTTGTCTTTTGCCAGCATGTACACCAGCGCGTTGGTGATTGATCGTGTCTTAGATCCTATTAAAACAATTTAGACCATTTGTTATTTTATAGTTATGAATTAAGAAATTAACTCTTACTGTCATATGATTTGATGTCTGCAAACGACTCAAACATTGTACGTTGCCTTAAGCACACAGACTGATTACTGGATGATGCAATTGATGATGTAACGGATCTACTACGGAATGAATCGTTATCAACGATACCAGACGAAGATTAACTAGTTGAAGGTTCAACAGCATCAAAGTTTAATTTAGTTTGCGATACATGAGCCTATATTAAAAAAAATTGGTTTAAACTTTAAGCACATTATTAGTAATTGTGCATTTTAGTATTTTACCTTATATACAATGGTTTGAGCTAAATCGTCTAAATGTGCTACTGGATCGTCAATATCATCATCACAGTTTTTTGTTGAACTAGTTGAAGCAAAAGAATGTGCGGATGACATAGATGTTCGTCGAACCTTGGTCTTTGTGACAGCAGCTGCTACATCTTCGCTGAATCTTCAATGAACCGTGTTTACGCTTAATGTGGTTGCGTATGTTGGTGGTGTTGCCACATGGTCTCACGGGAGCTTGACAGATTTTACACGTTACGACTTCGGGATCTGACGTTTTTTCGAAGTAGCCCCAAATGGAACTTCTAGGAGTTGATTGTTTTGACGACATATCACGTGGTCAACAGGAAACATCAACTGGAAAAAAGTTATGACTCTGCGAATTGACGATTTTTGGTTGTAGCTGACAAGATTTTAAATACATATATTTCTCAGTTTTATCAGCAGGAAATCTGACAAAAATAATTATTTACTAAATAATCTATTCATATGAGGTACTCCGGTTTCTACAAGCTGCAATAGCACAAAACAACAACCATTTTAAAAATTATTCTTAACTTTATTATTAACTGTGTATAACCCTCATAATAGCTCTACATTAATTATTAAATAAGAATAAATTTAACTCAATATCGTATCAATCATTCGTTAGTGATATAGTTTACATACTATATTACTATCCAACAATCACTTATCAATTTAGTGTTTTAAAATCTCATGAAATTTATTAACAAATTTTTTTGACAAAGGTTGGTTGCTCAATACACAGTCAAATATTAACCAAATATATCATAACGCATTATGTCAAAACAAGAATGATATTCACTTACAAAAGAAAAAAATGAGCAAGGTGCTAAAAACAAGAAAACACCAAAAAAACTAAACAATTTTTCAAAATTAGTTTGATGCACAGTATGGTTTTACTTGCTATAGCTGACGCCAAGTATCACTTTATAATGTGTGATTTTGGTACAAATGGAAGAATTTCAGATGGCGGAGTTCTTAAAAACACGATATTTCATGAAAAACTTAAAAATAATCTATTTAACATCCCTCAGCCTGATAGAATCAGAAACTCCGATATCAATGTGCCCTACGTTTTTGTCGTAGATGATGCTTTCCCTCTGACAGAAAACATGATGAAACCATTTAAACAAGCCCAATTAACTTCTGTAAACAGAAAGATATTTAACTACCGCTTATCCCGAGCCAGACGCATTATTGAAAATGCATTCGGTATTCTGGTGGCTCGATTTAGAATATTTCATACAGCAATCAACTTGAAACCAGAACACATTGATTCTGTCGTTATGGCCTGCTGTGTACTACATAATTTTTTACTAGATATGGTACCTAGTTCGTATGCTCCTCCAGAGTGCTTTGACCGTGAAAATACGAGTGAAGGTACAATTTTAACAGGATATGAAGCACAAAACGATCACACCTATGGATTAAATAGAAGCAATTTAGGAAAACCACCTCGATCGGCCAAAGAGTTGCGTGAGGATTTTATGAGATATTTTGCTAATGAAGGTCAAGTTCCTTGGCAACAGGACTGTATTTGAAATTGTATTATTTTCTTATACCAATTAAATAATTATTATAATATTAAAATCTATACTATTTAAAATATGTCAACATTGTATGCTATGTATATAATTAAAATTATTACTTACGTTTCCAAAAATACTGTTGTCATTATCAAAATCGTTTTCTAAACTGGAATGGGAAGTTCTTGGCGTATCTTGGTCACCCATAAAACTAAATCAAAAAATAATATACTATACTAACATACCTAGCAATATCAAACTTAAACAATTTTATTTAAAATACCATATAAATACTTCGGTGTTTAAATACTAGTATTCAAAATTGGACTTACCTCAACAATGAAAAGTACCACAAATTTTGGCTTGTAGACAATTTTACCTACTTAAGTATTTAAATTTAAAATTAAATAATATGTAGTACCTATCTGAAACCTGAATACATTTTAAAATTAATATTGAACTTATTGTCTTTAAATATTTAATGTTTGTAAGTATTTTAAAATCTAAATCAAACATAAGTTTTATCCATAAAAAATGGATCCATTAAATATGCCACGATAAAAAATGGTTCCATAGCACTTGACATTCTTTTCTTGATAAAATGTTGGTACACTTCCATGTCTGGTGAATTAATTAAATCATACCACCCATCTACTGCTGTAGAGAATGTAGTACAGTCTCCTTGCATCTATCAATTATAAATATTAAAATGATTAATGTATAAAATGGTAAGCTTAATGTACAGTTATTAACTAAATGTTAAACATTTTATTATTTCGTACTCTTTTTTTATATAAATTACTTTTAATATTTAATTCCAATGTATTTTTATTTAGTAATAAGTACCTAATAACTAAATCTTTGATCAAAACAGTAAAAGAAAACTTGATTTATTAAATTATTTGGTATGAAAGTACTAAATTTATGAAATATCAAAACAGTTAATTAATATTTGATTCTGAAAATCAAATAATAAAACTGTAAAATTTAGGTAGCAAAAATAATAAAAATTAATAAGATGCAAGGTACTTTGTCTAATACTGAAGCTACAAGTTTTAATTGTTTTTGTAAATTCAACGATTCCCTATAAAGTCCATTATCGTTCAACATTTGGCCAATAGTCTTATCAAATTCAACAATATGTAAATTCATGATCTACTGATATTTAAAAAAATTTTTTATAAAAAAACCTCGAACCAGCCACAAATTAAAACCAAAACACCACAACAAATATTTAGTAATTAGTAAATATTTTTCATTTAACAATTTATTAGACATGCTTTTCACAATTTGATTAGTATCACATTTACAAGCTTATTTACATTTTTTTTTTTTAGTTACACAAACAAATAATTACATATAATATGCCTGTTGGTATAACATTTATTATAAATGTGCATGTTCTATTAGGTCATTATAAAAAAACCTCAAACCAGCCACAAATTAAAACCAAAACACCACAATAAATATTTAGTAATTAGTATACATTTTTCATTTAACAATTTATTAGACATATTTTTCACAATTTGATTAGTATCACATTTACAAGTTTATATACAATTTTTTTTTTAGTTACACAAACAAATAATTATTAGTAATTAGTACACACATTTAAACAAACAATTACTGATAATTACAGACATTTAACATTAATACAAACAGATAGTGATTATCCCACACATTAATACATATAAATAGTATTGAATACTGATTCCCTCGGCCACAGGAATATATAAAAACATAAAAAAAAAAAAAAACAGTTTTTGAATCTTGAATAATAATGTACATTATTACAAATGTTGTAAATTTGCAAGTTTTCTGTTTCTAAGTTTTCTTATTGATATAAGATCCCTATTTAAAAATGTAACCGAAGAAAAAATTCTGAACCTTACAAATAATTTTATCAGATATTGATGATCAAAATGTTCACAAGGGTTAAAAAATGGAACATTATAACAGGCATTTATGAGTTTAGTTCCTACATTTTTCTCAACAGCAAAAACAGCGAAATTCTTTGTAAACAAATTTTCTAGCTCATTTATGTAGTCATAAAAACTGGTGTGGGGCATTTGTAGATTACCATTTGTCTTATCTTTATTGGTATATGCCTTAAAGTAGCACAAAAGAAGTGTTTTGTCCAGATCTTTTTGGCTTCTACCATACTCTATGCAAAATTCACAACGATGCACATTAAGACATTTGCTGTATAGGTATCCGCAAACAAAAGTCAAAGCATTAGACTCTGGTACATCAAGATTTCTATAGTCAACAGTACCTATCTTCAAGCTGGTTGAACAAGTGATTGGAGTTTCTTCAGGAAATATTACACTGGAACTGTTTGTTTGCTCTGCAGGATTTAAATGACATAATATACTATCTAGGTCTTTAATACAATTTGCGTCTGGTGAATGTTGGAAATAATTCAAACAGAATAATTTTTTAAAGGCGCAGTAAAATTGTACAGATGTAGGATTTCGATTATTTCCATTTTGTAACCTGAACATTCCAAATAAATTTTCTATTCTATCTTGATTAATACGGGAAGTACATAAAACAAAATCTTTATCATTTGAATCCCCTTTTAATTAATCCCATAACATAAAAAGACCATTAATGGCAATCAGCCATCCATTTATGAAATTCATTCGTGCTGTCACGTCAGTGCCATTTACAGAAATAACTCTCAACTTTTCAAAAAATGATAGCATCATATTTAAGTGATCTCTCTGTAACTCTGTGTTTTTGAAAGGCCTTCTATAAGATTTATCATTTGGTATATTTGAGGAATTAAATATATCAAAAAGCTTGTCCATTTTACTTATGAATTGTATGGTAAAATTAGCTTCAAGTGGTAATTTTTCAAGCCCCAAGTAAGTGAACATTCCTGCAGCAACACTTTCACTAAATACCTGTGCAGCTAACTTTACTCTCATTTTTTCAAATGGACCAGGATATATGTGAGCATAGGTTAACTTAGGTGCTAATCTCAAGTTTAATTTTGAATCATTTTTGTAAAAATCAGCTAAAAAGTTACTATTGGTTGATTGATCATCAACTTTAAAATAGTGTTTTAAAAACATATTTCGAGTTGACTTCAACAAATGGGGAGGATCAAAAATATATATTTTTTTTTGTTTGTTTACATTAAAATATGGCCTGCTTGGGCTTACATAAACTTTCCGACTAAAACTCACAAAATTTGAACCTAGTTATATTGTTCTGCGGCAAGGTCAGCGGGGCTCAAGTGGCAGGTGATAGGCAGTTCTTCAAGTTCCCAGAATTGTTTCAATATCGAATCAAGGGGTTCTGAGATAGTTAGACACATTGTAGTAATGGAAGAACGATCACATGAACCCATTGGTCCCAAGAGAACCCAACCGAATATAGTGTTCATGGCGATAGGTTCACCAACCAAACCTCTTTGCAAACCATCCAGGTAAATCGAAGGTAACAGGTCGGCTCCCAATAACAAATCGATCGCACCAGGGATGTTGTATGATGGATCTGCTAAGGGTAAATTCTGAATATGTGTCCACTGCCCAGTTATTAACGGTGATTGAGGAGTGGGCCCAGTGGTTTTAGAAATTATTGAGACGTGAGTAGAAACTGATGGTGCTTGTAGGCCACAGGGAACAATATTTATACTACATTTCCCACGAACACACGTCGAAACTGTACTAGCGAATGTAGAAACACTAACAGGTGAATGATACCGACGAAGCATTAGAGCACAACACGCTTTATCGGTGATGAAGCTGGCTTGTGAACCGCAATCCAACAAGGCTCTCAAGACATGGCGTCGGCCATCAGCAGCATATACATCAACAAGGGCTGTAGACAATAACACGATACTCTGAGGCTGGCCTCGCACAAGACATGTCGCAGCATGTGGGACACCACCTGAGGGCACAGACTCTGAGGACGTAGTGGCAGCAGTAGTTGCGTCAAAATGTAACAACGAGTGATGACTTCGTTTACACGACTGACATTTATACTTTGAGGTGCAACTCATTGAAGAATGACCGAATCCAAGGAAATTTATGCACAATTTATGCAGTGTTCTCTAAGATCGTATTGATCTGAGTTTGTATAGATGTACCATAATTTGCCTAAACCTTCTGGTTAGCAAGAAGAGCATCGAAGTGAATGCGGGCGAGATCACGTTTGTTGCCATAACGAGAACGCAAGATTTTCCACGCACTAGAATAGTTTGTAGCCGTTAACGCAAGATGGGACACCAATGACAAGGCTTCACCCTTTAAAGACATTTTCAGAAATTCAAAACATTCAACGTCTGGCAGTTCAGGAGCGTGTGACAGAATAGAGTTAAACAAATCATCAAAACTCTGCCACTCAGTCATCACACTGGAAAATGTAGGAAATGAACGCTTAGGTAGCTGAAAAGTTGATAAATTCTGTATACTACTGTTTTGATTTGTAAAAGAAGACGTTGCTACGTCCATCGAAGGTGACATTGTTAACTTGTGCACATCAGCGAAAGCAGCCAACTCATAATAGAAGCCGTCGAATGACGTAATAAGAGCTTGACTTTCACTATTGTCAGTTATATCCTCAGGGGCTGTTTTGGAATTAACGGCTGACTCCATTCGTTGGACATCATCCTCAATAGCATTTCGAAGAGGGGTGAGCTCACTGATCATTTTTGCAATTTTTGCTCGTTTACCAGAATTTGTGCGGTCATTATTATAATCGATAGACGCTTGAGCAAAGCTTTTCAATTTGGTAATACAATAAAGAACACGTGATTTTGCATCACTGTAACTAGTTGTCGACATTGTTTCCGAATTTATTTTAAATGCAAGTGCAGTTATACAAAGTAGCGATAATGCTCGTGGATATCAGGTACGAGCGACAGCGTAGATTTTTCACTAAATCTAGTTAGACAACGTCGTTGACAGTACAGACTTTACAGATGTAAGTACTAAAATCAACGGTATACCAAGACTAACAAAATTGATCGTGTACAAAAAGTGGTATAATATATTGTCACGGTTTTTATTAAACCATCCGCCCCGAAGGACCAAAAATGAATACGCCCGGAAATGGGGGCACAGACCGAATGACCACTCGGTGCGAACCGAGAGAGAAAGACCAAAACGCCTACTACTGTTCTGAGTAGGCAACCCAATCTACGCCTGACCAAAGTGACGTTAGGCAATCAATTTCACGACGACGAAATCTATGACGTGGACGGGAGGTAGTACATGGGAATCAGGAAGTACAGTTTAGTTATTGAGGGGGGGGTCTCTGTGGTCAAATCGGTTTGGTGCAATGACCACAGAGCTCACACAGATCAGGGACTTAACACTAGCTTAAAATTGAGGCAGACTGATGTATAATGGTAGTCCCTCTGAGGAGTGACCCGACACACTGGACGACCTGGGCGGCCTCTCACACAACGTATTTGTTGCTAGCGGACTTACGCAAAACAACTCTCTGGAGACAGATCTGGACGACCGTGACGGCCTCACACACCACTCGGTTGAATGGCTGGACGCAAAACATATGGCACCAAATCCGATGTCGGACAATTTCCAGCAACCAGACCATGTTAATAATTAATTTAGAATAACTCACGAATATTGCTGGTAACGATGGATATTTATTTTTGACACAAAGTTGCTCTTGTTCTAGTTTCATTAGTGTATTTAGTTGATACGTGACGCGCGATTAAGTAGATATAAGTCATATGTGACATTGTAATGTGCAAATACAGTGGATATATTATTAACTTTGATCTATAATTTGTATTGTTTAAACATTTACATACTTACAAAGTTACAAATATGTTTAAAACAAATAATCAACCACATAATTTATATGTATTGACCAATCGGTTAAAAATTAATTTACGAGAAGCAATCCAAATGCTTAAAAATCCGAACAAAGTATCAAACACTGTTGAATGTTCAAAACTTGAGCCACAGCCAGGTAAGTGGTATATTTGTACAGAATATAATAATACAAAATTAATGTCAGATGGCATCGAGTGGCAAGCGACAGGCACAAATGTATTACCTAATGATAAAAAACCAATTATGCAAGTCGAATACTTTGCATCGGAAAATATATACAAAAGTATTTTTAAGTTGACTGGAAAATATCGATATAATGCAACTTTGATAAATTATGCACAAAGTTCAAACGCAAACATTACTGACCCACCGAAAAATGAAATCCATACGCCACAGTATGGTTCTAAAAGAAGATCCATAAAAAGTGTAATGAAACATCGTTTTAAAATATTCAAAAAAATAACTAATGAAGAAATAGTGAATGACCAATCTAATATTGAACCAATTAGGTAATATCATGCCTATTTTTTAAAATTATAAAATATTATTCTAGAGCATTTTTTTTTTTTAGAAACATCGTTGACCCATGTACTTTAGGAGCCGACTATTCCCTTCCAGGTACTTCATCATCTATTTCTACATCAGATTGGTAATAGACTAATTATTTTATACTACATAATTATGTTCTACATTTAAGTTATCTTTATTATCTATATGACTATATTCATAATTCATTCATCGTTTTACAGCTCAGCTGTCCACCCATTCCAATATTTTGAGCATGTCTTACATGAAGATGAAGTAATTGAGTCGTCTGCTTTTGAAGCTAATGTATCTCGGAAGATATCATTTGAAGTACCAGATAAGTATGCACTATATTACACATGTATATACAGTGGAACAACTAGGGCTAAAGTGTTGGGAGGGGGCTGTAGTCTTACTGATATTACATGAAAAGTAACCCGTCGGGGCGATGCCCCCACACCCCCCAAAATATAAAAAACTCATACAAAAAAAAAAATAATAAAAATATACTAAATATTAATAATGTGGTAATTACAAATTAGCTTTTAAAAAATATTTGACCAATCAATGTCATGTGGTCGTGACTAATATTGTAGTCTAGGAATTATTTTTCCGAAGGTCGGTGATTTTTATTTTTTAATAATGTTAAAATATAGTAAGTTATACCCAGTGACGCAATAACTACTGCAGGGGCAGCCGGGGCAATACCCGTGTAAAGGGCCGCTAATCCTTGGATCAGGGGTCCGCGACGGCGCCCCGCATCTATTTTAAATTTTTAAATAATTGCATTATAATCTAATATTAAAATGAAATAAAATATATTAAAATAAAAATAAAAAAATCACCATCATTATTTATTTTTGTATATGTAACCTATAAAAAAATATTGTATACATAGACCTCAAGGCCCATACATTGACTTTATTCTAATTGCTGCACTGGACTATACCTATTAATTTTAAATTATAATTATATAAGAGATAATAATCAATATAAAAATTAATTTATTATTTTGTGAATAGAAATGTTGATAATGAATCATTATGTACGTCAAGTACACAATGTAAGATACCATTCATTATTAGTAGTACACCACTACACCATCAAACAGGACTTATACAAATTTCAGTGATTTGGAAATATCGAATGTGGAAAGTCACGAGCTTAATACTTGTGATAATGCTTATAGAAATCCGTAAGTTAAACATTATATTAGTGATTAACACACGAAAAATACCTTTTTATTTTTTTTAATTTGTTGTGAGTTACTTGGAGTTAAATTGGGAAAAATAACAATAAATGTGTCATATATTAAAAATAATTTATATATTTAGATGTGTAGGTAATGTACTGTCTACTATAAAACCTACAATAATATCCCCTATACCTCGACTATACAATCGACTTGAATTTTGGTGTAACTAAAAAACGAAATACTGGAAATACTTGAATTGTTCACTAAATAATTATAATATTTATTTTATTTTGGTTTATTAAATATACATTTAGGTGTACTTCTATGCCAGCACATAAATGTAACATAATGGTGAATAAAAATAATTTAGTGTGGCACACTGATACATCTTTTAATGACAACATTAACCAAAATATTTCGCTGGTTAACCAAGAACAATTTGGTAATGAAGGAGATAATACCGCAGATATTGCGTCGTATAAATTACATTGTGAAAGTATAGACAGAGACCCACTGTACGTACATTTCAATTTTTAAGACTACA